ATTTAAAGCATCGTTTTGGCTGGTTTATTGCACGTATTCGGCAGACCACTCATCCAATCCATACCTGTCGAATACCCTGCACATCGCCACTTAGGTGTTTGAGGGCCGGGTAGCCCTTCACGAACTTAAGCATGTCGGCATGTGTACAGTCACCCACTCTATGAACTGTAATAGCGTTGGCTCTTCCACGCTTTTGCGTTCGTTTTGTCCGTTGACTGCTGTCCAGGAGCTGGATTTTACCGCGTGATCACTGCCTGCTTCACTGGGTTCTGGCCCTGGTGCTTAGCCCTTTTGGAGGGAGTTTCGCGCTGTTCTGTCATGGCGTCCTTCGGCTGCTTGGGTGTGCCTGCACCTTTTTGGGATCCTAGCTTCGCTGCGCGTTCATTTTTCTACGTTTAGTTCTTCGACCTTATGTGACTTTTAGCCCTTGAGACTGCAGTGAGCACCGGTACCGATTTCTTCGCCTGTTCTTAAGCTTGAATTAGATAGCAAAGCTTACCTGTTTAGCAGGAACAGCGTAAGCCTAAGAGAATGCTGTAGTTTCTGACCGCTATTTTGCCACTTAATCGCCTGGCTGTTGTCTTCGCTACCAAGCTTGGCAGCTAGTCCTATAGTGCAGATGAGCTGGTTGTGAACTGCACCTGCCAACACGACTAACAGCTGCTAGAGTAAATGCAACCAATTACACAAATAGCTTCGCGAGACGGCTACTGGTATAACTCGTACATCAATTTTCACAGGAAAACCACTGGGTTGCATATTTTCATACGGAGTTATTAAAAATCGCCACCGCACTATAGGTAAACAATCTCTGCTCTCCCATTTAACCTATGTATTTACATGCATATACAGGTGCAGATTCTTGATAAAAGTCAACATTCATTCATCAATTCAAGCCCGAAATCATAATCTGCCCATTCACACACATTTGTGTGCGTATATGTGTTTAGCGCCCGAAATACGGAAATCGCAAAAACTTCAAATCTCGTCAAATTTGCGAGGGACAGGCAGGCAGGCAAGCAACAGGCACACAAGCACATAAATGCTTCTATTCATATACAAAATATACAAGTATGCGTGAATAGCGAGTCCAAAATATTTTAAATGCACACATGGCAACGCCTACCCTTACCAACTATAAAGATCTGAAATGCAAGAATTTATTTCATATTACTCGTCCCTTCAAAAGGGAAGAAAGCCACCGACTTTTGAGAAAAATTGAATTTGTGGCCATTTTTGCCTGTGCGGAGAAATACACACAAAGACAGTACAACGGTAAATACACAAATTGAAAACGCACTCAGAGTAAGCCAAAGCAGTTGCCTGAAGTGCGAGGGAATAAAAAAGCAACGATGCCGTTTTATAGCAGAAGTCATATGTATTTCTTACTCTCATACTGTCTGAGCGCGCGAGCGTGCCTCGAACCCGAACAAAAACTTTGGACTCGCCGCACAGAAAACGAGATGCCCCATCGCCGTCCACTAATTGTGCAGTCTATAAGTTGTGTGGTTAGTGGTTATAGGCATGATGCAACCGACATAGGTCTTGCATAAATAACAATTTTAAACTTAGATGTTATTTGACTTTTTATAGGTGATGTGCTGATTGTGTTTTGATTAGATAAGAAAAGCATTGATAATTAACTAAATTCACTCAAAATAAAATACACAAATATTTAAGCTATATTATTATTGAAAACCCGAATTTTTTCCATAGATACCCTACACGCTAAGAGAATGTTTTGGGAAGCTCCATCAATGAGTGCGCAAAAATCTCGTCTGATTGACTTCACACTCATTATATTCTTTACCCACTAAAGGAAGGTAAAAAAGTATGTTTCTGTGCAAATGTATGTAATAGCACTAACCAAACAACATATAGACTGGACATCACATAGAAACAACATTGGTACAAAAAGTATCGGAGGCATCTGGTCAAAACTCGCGAGTGAGGAAGTAAGATATACATATGATGTATTTTTGATCCGCTTACTCTACAGGAAAGTGCTTGGCGCTCTCTCTTCCATATGATTTTTGCGATAGAACGGCAACGATGTTAACTTTTATCTCGCTCGCACTTACTCTCAGCTCTCTTTGCTCTGTCTTTATGTTTAGGGATCGTTTAAATGTGTATGTGTCCGACAAGCAAAACTGCGCATAAATTCAATTTTTCCAAATGCTGAGGCATTTCTACCCTTTTGAAAGCACGAGTAATATGAAATAAAGAAAGGGTTTGCCACGTCGATGCGAAATTCTTGCATTTAAGCTCGCTATCGTTGGTAAGGGTACCCAAGCGTTGCCATGTGTGCATTTAAAATATTTTGGACTCGCTATTCACGCATACTTGCATATTTTGTATATGAATAGAAGCATTTATGCGCTTGTGTGACTGTTGCTTGCCTGCCTGCCTGTCCCCGATGCAAATTTAACAAGATTTTGGGATTTCTTATTTTCGACCTCTACACATAGACACACACATACAAATGTCAGTGAATGGGCGGATCATGGGCGCAAAAGAAAATATCATTATTGGCACGCGTCTGACGCGCGCCCTTCTTTTTTAAGATTTATATATATTCATGTCCGCCTGTCTGTCTGTCCGCATGTATGAACGCAAGAATATCAGAATCTATAAGAGCTAGAGAAATGTTAGCTGAAGGTGCTTCTAGTGACTGCGCATACTGAGTTTGTTTCCGATAAGAGATGCTTACTCCGTTTTCAAGCATTCGATAAGAATCGATACCTATATCTCGTTTTTTGAGCAAATTAGCTAGAGACATTAAATAAAAATCTATACCGAAATCTTTAGCTAATCTTTTTAGTTTTAAGAGCTAAAGCCAAAGTATATTTTTATATGTAGTTTATTTCAATATATAGCTATCAACACCCCCCCACCATAGCTATCAATCAAATAAATTTGAACTACTCACTAATTGAAGTCACAATTTTAATGCAATTGTCTTTTTGATAATATGGTATACGATTGCTACTCTTGAGAATTTCATCAAAATCAATTGAGAAACACAAGTTATTAAACAAAAGGTATTTTTATATTGCCATGTGTTTAAGGTGACAAGTGCAAATTGCTAGAATTTATTTATAATGTACAGACGCACACATGTACCATCAACAGCACTGCAATGGCGATTGTATTGTTTTCTGTGCTGCAATTTAAATATATTTTTTCTCATTAAGACTAAATAATTGGGGTGGCTGTTGCATAGAGGCGGCAGTAAGTGATGCGGCCAGTTGAGAAATCGAACCCTACCGAGAAACTCCTTTCTTTTCAAATTTAGTTTTATTACTGCTGAAGCATACGAGCGTGAAGAACGAGCTGCATTTGGTGTTAATGAAGATTCAGGGTATTCACTAGTCGGGAGCTCCCGACTAGAGACTCTTATTTCTTTAAAAATATATAGTTTAAATGATTAAAATTGAAGACCTGATCTGGTTCATTGCAGTGCGGGAGATTCTAATATTCCAAGGACCTATAGCCTCTGTCCACTGAACACATTTCAGAATATATCATTTATCATATTTATCTCGATATGTGTAAAATGCGGACTGTGCATTTCCCCATAAGAAAACACATTTCCCACCTCTTTTAAATATGTTACATCTTTGAAAAATGTGTAAATTCGCTTCGAACATTTCGTGTTTTTTGTGATGGTTAATTGAGATTTCTAGCGATGTTGTAAGAAATGGTACAGTATCATAGCCGTACACATCTGATATATCAACGAAGGCAAGCGGCAACTTTAAATAAGAAATTTAATATTAAAATTCTTCCGCAGTTTTTAATTTTTTTTTGGAAGAAAAACTTTACGGCACTTATGTAAATTAAATAAACTCGATCAGCTGTTTATTTAAAGAAGCGGTACTTTTGCCACTCACATGTGACCGACCACCGGTGGAACACCAATATGTGAAATTTGAAGATGTGACATTTCTTAAACCAGTGGACAGAGGCTAATAAAATCATAATAAATAATTATGAATCGAAAATTCAATATTTATAATGCTTGTCATCGATAGTTAGCATCTCTCGATTCTCTTTTCGAAGCACTAGCAAGAAACACTACGGCCGACTCATTTGGCCGTTCCTTATGTGGGGCGACATGTACGTCAAATTACCGGCGGTGACTTAGCGTCGAATTTCGGTACTTGTTATCGTAAAAGTATTAGTCATTTCTAAATGCATTTACTTATGTTTTAAAGCACGAAGCAAATCAATTTAAATGCAGAATTGCAACATATGTAATTATTTACTATCTTCCTTCATTTTTTTTTTGGGTTTTAATTTATAATATGGGTAAGCCGAGGGGTTGAAAAATTAGGTTTCCACCATACTTTAAATATCTTAAATTAGGGATTATGGCCCCGAAAACCGCATATACACGATTGCAGCCTATAGTTTCACCTAGCCAACTGTGAAAATTTAATTAAAACCGTGGGTACCAATTTTAAGATATTTGGAAAAGAGTGCAACAACCCCCATTTTAGCCTCATATATAATGACCACAGAAATCAACCTTGTTTTCAAGCCTTTATTTCTTAGCTCAGAGATATATTTTAAGAAACTTTAGGTACTTATTTTAAGTAAATGGACGGTACATTTTAAGAAAATAAATAAATTAACAAATTAAATTATTAATCTGTACTGACGAAATAAATAACAGAATGATTGAAAAATCGTGCTCTATATACACAAATACCGTGCATTTGGGGCCATTGTCGGAGAAATTAAACAATAAAGGTTAAAATATGGCAGCAATTTAACAGTATGATATCTAATAGTGCCAGCATGTTTATTCTGCATTAACATAGGATGCTATTATATAAATAGAAAAATGAGAATTTTTCAACCCCTTGGCTTACCCATATTATATTATTAAAATTCAAAAACAAATGAATGCAAGCAGTAAATAATTTAGTTGCTTGCATTTCTGCATTTAAATTTATTAGGTTCTGTCCTTAAAAACATAAATATATGCATTTAGAAGTGACCGATTCCTTTTCCGATACCAAGTTCCACAAATCGACGCTAAGCCATCGCCGCTAATCTGACGCACATGAAGAATTACTATCCAAAATGGTCCACTCGCTTATCGAGCTATCGGTGTTTCAATATATAAACAGTGAAAAAATGGCTAGTACGGTATGTATAACAGATAAAATGATTGCTTAGAATAGTTATTATTCAATTTAATTTTCAGGGTAGCGCGGCTGGGAATCTCGGAATAAATGTGAAGGCACAATTGACTGCGATCTCTGAGGAACACCGACGTATCTGGATAGGAAATCTGGACGCGCGCATCACCGAGTAAGTTGTGAACTGTGCAATCGTGCATTACATTTTTTCGCTCTGAATTGTGCTAATATATATATTTCTTTGACAACTATCGGTTTCAACTTCTCAAACTAATGCAAAAATGCGGTGCCATTGAAAAGTTTGACATGTTATTTCATAAGGGCGGTCCAATGGTCGGCCAGTCGCGTGGATATGCCTTTGTCACATTTACACAAAATGAGGGCGCCACTAACGCAATTATCAAACTGGACGGAACTAGTGTGGGCAATCGTTGTATAGCTGTGCGTCTCGCTAAGAACATTAAATATGTAAGTGAAGTGTTAACGTTGCCTGATACAAGACTGCGTGGTATAAGCAGCTTTTTTACATATTTCAAAAATCACTTAGGATGATCTTCAAAGGCCCAAACCCCGCATAGAGATACCTGCACTGGGGAGAGTCAAGCGTGAAGAAAAGATAAGCAAAGCAGATGCCATTCGCGCCATTGAGGCCAAACTGAAAACTTTAGAGCGACAGACGGATAATAATTTGGAATTAAACACCGTCGGACGTGATCAAAACGTGCCCTTTATCCATCGCTATCAATTCAACAAGAGCCGTGAAGCTCTACAGCGTACAGGACCACACGGCAAATATATTAAAACTAAGTCCGCGTCACCATATCAACGTCAGCTTGTCAAACGACGTTGATTTAGACCAAATTAGTATCTTAAAACTACTTTTGATTTAATTAAATATTAGATTGGCTCGCCCTTAAGAAAAAATATAAAGTTAGTCCAGTTGGCTGCAAACTTGGATTTTCTACGCATGTCCTCAGGCAGGGCCACTGTGCCAGGGCAGGACACCTGACTAGGTATTTCACAGATTGTTGCTATCAATTCAACAAGAGCCGTGAAGCTGTACCACATATCAGGATCAGCTTCCAAAACGACGCCTAGTCAGATGTTATTAATATCTTAAAGCCCTTTCAAAAACCACCTTCGATTTGATCAAACATTAAAATGGATCGCTCTTATGAAACAATATAAAGTTATTTTATTTGGCTGCAAACTTGAATTTGCCACGTACGTCCTCAGGCAGGGGCACTGTGCCAGGGCAGGACATTTGACCAGGTATTTCACAAATGCAGTGGCGTTCGCAACCATATCCAAAGTTGGCTGGATTATCTTTGCTTTCCGCCAAGCGCGCTTCAGCGACAAGTTGTTTACTAAAATTAGTAAAATCGTTCAATGCTAGAAAACTTTTGAATGCGATGTGGCCATATAGACAAATGCTTACCGTGTTTTTCCAACTACATTGATTAAGTGTTCAACGATTTCATCGCGATTCTTAGAATCAATGTCAATAATCATATCCCGCCCATCTTCAAAGAAGCAGCGAACAAAAGGCGAGGGCGCTATGTTTTTTAGAGTGACGACTTGCACATCAGGATTCCTAAATTGTATTTGTGGAATGTTCCAAAATACTAAATCTCTGCGAGGAGGTATATTTATTAAATTCGCATCGTAATATAGAGATGTAATCTTACCTTGCGCCTGAATGATGGTTACCGTACGTGTTGTAACAGACGCTGAATATTCGCACATTGTCTTTCAAAACTAGCTTACCCTCATTTAGATATTTTAACGTACGCCGTATGGGCTCTCGTCCCTTCATAAATGGCATCACGTATGTTAATTGGTTCAATTGAAATTATAAAAAATATTTATTATAATTGTCACTTGTGTAATTCAGTCAGCCAGCTATCGATAGAGTCAAACAACGAATACATATCGATATTTTAGAGTTGCCGCAGGCACTAACCATACAATCACTAACCAAACAACATATAGACTGGACATGAGTACAGGAAAGTAGACACAAAATGTATCGGTGGCATCTGGTCCAAAATCGCGAGTAAGAGAGTAAGATATACATATGATGTATTTTTGCACCGCTTACTCTATTAGAAAGTGCTTCGCGCACTCTCTTCCATATGATTTGTGCTATAGAACGGCAACGCTGTTAACTTTTTCTCGCTCGCACTTACTTTCAGCTCTCAATGCTCTCTCTTTATGTTTAGCGATCGTTTAAATGTGTGTGTGTGTATGTGTCCAACAAGCAAAACTGCGAAAAAATTCAATTTTCCCAAATGCTGAGGCATTTCTACCCTTTTGAAGGCAAGAGTAATATGAAATAAAGAAAGGGTTTGCCACGTCGATGCGAAATTCTGTCATTTTAGTTCGCTATCGTTAGTAAGGGTACCCAAGCGTTGCCATGTGTGCATTTAAATTATTTTGGACTCGCTATTCACGCATACTTGCATATTGTGTATATGAAAAGAAGCATTTATGCGCTTGTGTGCCTGTTGCTTGCCTGCCCCGATGCAAATGTAACAAGATTTTGGGATTTCTGATTTTCGACCTCTACACACAGGCACACACATACAAATGTCTGTGAATGGGCTGATCATGGGCGCAAAAGAAAATACATTACTGGCACGCGATACCGCGTAGATACCCAAAGGCTTCAAAAAGGATGAAATCCGGACCGGCAGGGGAGGTTGCCACATCAGGAATAGTACTGTAAGTTAGAAATTAAGTGAAACACAAAAAAAAACAAACGAACAACTAACACAAGATTGAAATAGAATTATAAGAATAATAAATACTAAATATTGTAGAACGATAAGCAAGATAAAAAAGTGTAAAACGATAAACAAATATAAAGACTACGAACGTAGTATAAATTATTTCCAACTTTGCGACTCCGAAGGGACCCTCCAAAGTAGAAGGAAGAAACCAGCCACTGGAAACCAGGCAGGTTCGCCAAAATACCAACCACAACAGGTATACATACCCAATAGACCTTCTGCACCAAAACCCCAACCACGTCCTAAGCCAATGGACGTGGACCAAAGCATCCGCACGATGATGATAAACTACATGAACAGACCCAATTTTGAAGTAGGGAAAAGACCTCCACCACCAACAAACGCCACGGACAAAAAACAAAGAAATTTCAACATACAAACAGGAGAAGAACAGACGGAGACAGAAAATACCGACAACTATGTGACTATGGAGGAATACGTACAATCAATGCTAAATTACGAACAGCAGACTGAATACGAACAGCCATTAAACGAATACGCCCAACAAATTGAAGAAACAGATGACGGACAAAATACCCAATACGAACACTCAGACATTAATTTTTTAGGATAAAGAGCTCCTCTCTTCCTTACATAGAATGTAAGATGTCTTTTTAATAGAAACGATATAAAAATAAAATTCTTTCTCTTACCCACCCTAAAATCATTTGACGCCATATTAGGTACCGATAGTCTAAAGGAACTAGATGCTGTGATACAAAGCAGCAAGAATCTACTAATAATCAAGAACAACATTTGCATACCCATTAAGCAGAAAAAATTAGAGGCGGTCAACACGGTAATACCACGGACAGAACATATGACAAACGAACAAAAAAATAGCCTTAATCAACTAGTTAAAATGCACCCACACCTATTTGCCAATCCGGACGGAAAACTGACATACACAACCAACGTCAGAGCAGAGATTCGAACAAAAAACGACTCCCCCATATATTCAAAATTTTACCAATTTCCAATGTCTTTAAAAGACGAAGTACACAGCCAAATCAAAGAACTTTTAGAGGACGGAATCATCCGACACTCCCGATCCCCGTACAATTCACCTGTATGGATTGTTCCGAAAAAATTAGATGCCTCCGGGCAAAAGAAATATCGTATGGTTATAGACTACAGGAAACTAAATAAAGAAACTACCGCAGACAAATACCCTATACCCGAAATCAACGAGGTACTAGCACAGCTAGGCAATAACAAAGTTTTCTCTGTCTTAGATTTGAAAAGTGGCTTTCATCAAATACCCCTTAAAGAGTCAGACATAGAAAAAACTGCCTTCTCCGTTAACAACGGAAAATACGAGTTTACACGACTCCCATTCGGTCTCAAGAATGCGCCCTCAATTTTCCAGAGAGCTCTTGACGACATCCTTCGTGAGCATATTGGAAAAATATGCTTAATTTATATTGACGATATCATTATCTTTAGCAAAGATGATGAATCGCATGCGCAGCACCTTGCCGCCATATTCAGAACTCTACAAGAAGCCAACATGAAATGTCAGTTGGACAAATGCGAGTTCTTTAAAAGCAGAAAGTGCTTCGCGCACTCTCTTCCATATGATTTGTGCTATAGAACGGCAACGCTGTTAACTTTTTCTCGCTCGCACTTACTTTCAGCTCTCAATGCTCTCTCTTTATGTTTAGCGATCGTTTAAATGTGTGTGTGTGTATGTGTCCAACAAGCAAAACTGCGAAAAAATTCAATTTTCCCAAATGCTGAGGCATTTCTACCCTTTTGAAGGCACGAGTAATATGAAATAAAGAAAGGGTTTGCCACGTCGATGCGAAATTCTGTCATTTTAGTTCGCTATCGTTAGTAAGGGTACCCAAGCGTTGCCATGTGTGCATTTAAATTATTTTGGACTCGCTATTCACGCATACTTGCATATTGTGTATATGAAAAGAAGCATTTATGCGCTTGTGTGCCTGTTGCTTGCCTGCCCCGATGCAAATGTAACAAGATTTTGGGATTTCTGATTTTCGACCTCTACACACAGGCACACACATACAAATGTCTGTGAATGGGCTGATCATGGGCGCAAAAGAAAATACATTACTGGCACGCGATACCGCGTAGATACCCAAAGGCTTCAAAAAGGATGAAATCCGGACCGGCAGGGGAGGTTGCCACATCAGGAATAGTACTGTAAGTTAGAAATTAAGTGAAACACAAAAAAAAACAAACGAACAACTAACACAAGATTGAAATAGAATTATAAGAATAATAAATACTAAATATTGTAGAACGATAAGCAAGATAAAAAAGTGTAAAACGATAAACAAATATAAAGACTACGAACGTAGTATAAATTATTTCCAACTTTGCGACTCCGAAGGGACCCTCCAAAGTAGAAGGAAGAAACCAGCCACTGGAAACCAGGCAGGTTCGCCAAAATACTTTGGCATATTGCATACAGTGAGAAACAAAATCACTGGCAATGCCGACACGGCCCTCGAGTCGTATAATGTTCCCCTAAATTGGAGCGCTATCTCCAAATGTCTCACGCTGCACTACGCAGACAAAAGAGATCTGGGAACATTAGAATATCAGATGACAATGTTAGTGCAAGGTAACAACCAAACAGTAGAAGAATTTTACCAGGTCATTTACAACCACTTGTCGCTGATATTAAATAAAGTGGGCTGCTTGGAATTAAATAGGGAATCCGAAACCCTTATGACAAAAATATACCGAGATAAAGCATTAGATACCTTCATTAGAGGTTTGAAGGGAGATTTACCACGGATTCTTGGAATAAAGGAGCCAGCATATCTACCTTCAGCCCTTCACTATTGTTTAAAACTAGGGAATCAAAGCTATCGCACTAACATGGCTTTGAATAGAAATCAACAGACACATGCCAGAAACCCAAATAGAAATATACCACCACCTACACTGCCACCTCGAACATCTCAGCCTTCTTTCGCTCAAGCTTTTAGACCACCACCCATTAGCTTCAGGCCCCAACTCCCGATCCATACACCTTGGCCAACCAATACAAACCATGGACCACCGACTTACAACAATAATGGACCGATTCCACAATATCCCAACCAACGAACCTACCAGACACAACCACAACAGGTATACATACCCAATAGACCTTCTGCACCAAAACCCCAACCACGTCCTAAGCCAATGGACGTGGACCAAAGCATCCGCACGATGATGATAAACTACATGAACAGACCCAATTTTGAAGTAGGGAAAAGACCTCCACCACCAACAAACGCCACGGACAAAAAACAAAGAAATTTCAACATACAAACAGGAGAAGAACAGACGGAGACAGAAAATACCGACAACTATGTGACTATGGAGGAATACGTACAATCAATGCTAAATTACGAACAGCAGACTGAATACGAAC